AAACTGAGGCAAACAAGGATTAAGTGACTTGCCGAACTAGTAACTATCTGAGGTGGAATTTTAAAAGAAGTCTTCCTGCTTTGTCCCTGTACCACTAGTAATCCTGATTCTGGTTGATTTTTATGAATGACTATTTAATAGACTTAAGTCCACATGATAGAAGTAGGATTCCATAAAATCCTACTCCAAATCTTCATTGTGGCATAGAGGTGATCCTGAGCCCATGGAGTCAATCCCAGTGGAACTCAAACTCCAGTAGCTCCTACCAAACTGGAAAGACTTTTAGTAACAGACTGTCTTTTCCCCCACCCTGAGGACCAACCTACTTTAGGACAGAGAAGAGAGGTTAAACACCAGTAGGCTGCCCCAACGTGATAAATTTTTGGCCATGGTAATTTATGAAACAGAAAAGTACAAAATGGTCCTTGTTCCTATTCATTCCTTCATTAAGTGATAGGGACAGAATCATAACTTTTAGACTCTTTGTAAACTTTAATGTAGATGTTGTAATGTGAACCTTGTCCAATGAATGACCAAGGAATGAACATGTTACTGAAGGGAATGAAATATATCAATCTTGACATTCTTGATGTTGAAGAAATCAGAAGACAAAAGGAAGTTGCAATTAAATGGAAGAATGGCCCATAGCTTTTCCTTGCAGAGGCAAGTAAAGGGATTGGTGGACTTGATTTTATCATGTGTCCTTGGGATATTTAGTGTGAATAATGAATCTTATGAAGTGGTCACATGTCTTTGAATTTAGACCAGTCAACGTTATAATTATGGCAATTAGTTCCAGCCCAATGGAACTAGGTAGTGCTAATTCAAATAATGCGACTACTTCACAGGATTCATTATTCACACTAATCAGGACTTAGCATGCAAAAACAATAATGAACATAATTACAACTTCTATGCCAACATCTGTTGTTGTTAATGAAGAACTTGACAAGACACTTCAAATAAAATCAGCATATACTTTAACATTCAATGACTTTGTTGCAAAGGTGAACATGGGAGGGGAGGGCAAAATATCTTGATAATTATGAGAGATCAAAGACTTGTAGACTTGTTTGTAATCTTTCCATGATATTTGCCTGTTTCTTCAACTCTTTGCAGAAAGGAAATTTAAATTTCCATGACTGCAAAGGTGAAATAACATTCCTGTGTCAAATTGTTGACTGGTGTTGGGAAAAATCTTTTAATTGCTGACTCTAATGGTATTTTCTCAGTCTTTTTTTTTTTTACCAATCTGCTGCATTTGATTTTGTTGGCCATCAGCTTCTTCAGGATATTGTTTCCTCCCTGGGTTTTTGTGATGCTATTCTTTCTAGGTTTTCCTATCACCTACCTGACTGTTCATTCTCAGTCTCCTACTCAGCTTATTATCTATATCTGCCCCCTAATTGTGAATGTTCTTTAAGATTCTGCACTGGTCCTCTTGTCTTCTCCCTCCTCACTGTCTTTCTTGGTGTTTTCATCAGCTCCCATAAGTTTAGCTATTATCTCTATGCAGATGATAGTTCTAGTTATACTTCCCCCATCTCTCCCTTGAGCTTCAGTTCTACAACACCCAATGCCTATTAGGCATCTCAATTTTGATGTCCTAGAGACATAACAAACTTGATTTGTCCAAAATAGAGTTCATTACCTTTGCCCAACACCTTCCCCTCTTCCATTCCCCATGTAAGTTAAAGGTGCTACCATTCCTCCAGTATCTCAGCTACATAAAGATGAAATTGTCTTTGGTGAGTAAACTGAACCAACATTGTAAAAATGATCATTCTACCTAAATTTATTTATTCAGTGCTATACCAATCAAACTACCAAAAATTATTTTATACAGCTAGAAAAGATAATGAAAAAAGAGCATGGTAGAAGCTCGGTATAGACAACATCTCACACTGTATACCAAGATAAGGTCAAAACGAGTACATGATTTACACATGAAGGGTGATACCATAAGTAAACTAGGAGAACATGGAACAGTTTATCTGTCAGTTCTATGGATAAGGGAAGAACTTAGGACCAAGCAAAATATAGGGAACATTACAAAATGTAAAATAGGTAATTTTAATTACATAAAATTAAAAAGATTTTGCATAAATAAAACCAATGCAGCCAAAATTAAAAGGAAAGTAAAAAACCGTGGAAAAAAATTGCAACAAGTATCTCGTATAAAGGTCTCATTTCTCAAATATATAGAGAATTGAGTCAAATTGATAAGAATGTGAGTCATTCTCCAATTGATAAATGGTCAAAGAATATGAACAGGTAGTTTTCAGATGATGAAATTAAAGCTATCTATAGTCATATGAAAAAATGCTCTAAATCACTATTGATTAGAGAAATGTAAATTAAAACAACTCTGAAGTGCCATCTCATACTTATCAGGTTAGTTAATATGACACAAAAAGGAAAATGATAAATGTTGGAGGGGATGTAGGAAAATTGGAACACTAATGCATTATTGGTGGAGTTGTGAACTCTTCCAACCATTCTGGAGAGCAATTTGGAACTATGCACAAAGGGCTATAAAATTGTGCCTACTCTTTGATCCAGCAATACCACTGTATCTGTCTGTATCCCAAAAGAGATTTTAAAAAGAGAGAAAAGGACTTATTTGTACAAAAATATTTATAGCAGCTCTTTTCGTGGTGGCAACCAATTGGAAATTAAGAGGATGCCCATCAACTGGGGAATGGCTGCACAAGCGGTGATAAATGATTGTGATGGAATATTATTGTGCTATAAGAAATGACAAGGAGGATGATTAAAGAAAAACCCAGAAAGACTTCTATGAACTGATGCAAAGTGAAGTGAACAGAACCAGGAGAATGTTGTACACAGTAATGGCAATATTGTTCGATGAAGAACTGTGAATGACTTAGCTATTCTCAGCGATACAGTGATCCAAGATAATCTCAAAGGACTCATGATGAAGCATGCTATGTGCTTACAGAGAAAGAACTGATGCTGACTAAATACAGACTGAATACAGACTTCATTTCATTTCTTCTTTCTTTAATTCTTTTTTAAAATTCAAGTCTTCTTGTACAAAATGGCTAATATGGAAATGTTTTGCATGATTGCACATGTATGACCCATATCAGATTGCTTACCATTTCTGGGAAGGCTCCCTGCTTCCCTATCCCAAGGAGGGATAGAATTTGGAACTTGAAACTTTAAAAAATTGTTAAAAATTGTTTTAACACATCATTGGGGAAAAATAAAACATTATTAAAAAAAAGAAATTGTCTATGACTGGTCATTCTCCTTTTGTCAAGTGCATTGGCAAATCTTATCATTTTAATACTAACACAATAGTTTATATGAAGCCTTTCTTGATTTCCCCCTATTGCTAATTTCTTTCCTAACCACTTTGTAGTTAAGGACCCTGAATTTATATTTTGTCTGTTTTATTTATTCTATATGTATATATGTATATATGTGTGTGTGTGTGTGTGTGTGTATGTATACATATTTTTCTCTCCTAACAACATGTAAGCTCCTTGAGAAGAGATTGTTTAATTTTTTGTATTTGTATACCAAATGTCTAGCAGAGTACAAGGAAAACAGTAAGCACTTAATGCTTCAAGCTGTTTGTGTGTTGGTGGGGAGAGTTAGGGGAAGCTTATTTAACAAGGTCTTTACACTATGAGCCTACAGAAATATAAAGAAAACTAACACTAAAATACCATTATACTCATAACTATGTTGTACATGTTTGGTCCTGGAAAACAAATGATAAGACAAATTTTCCTCATTTAGGGAGTTAGATGGTACAGTGGATAGAGTGCTGAGTTCAAATTTGACACATGCTAGCCGTGTAACCTTGGGCAAGTCACTTACCTCTGTCTGTCTCAATTTTCTCACCTGAAAAAATGGGAATAATAATAGCATTTACCTCTCAGGGTTGTTGTGAGCATACAATGAAATAACATTGGTATATATTTTTTGCAAACTTCAGCACTTTATTGTTATTATTATTATATCTGCATAGAGAAGTGGGAGAGCATGGAATTGGAATGTCACATACACTGTCAGTTGCTTTTTGGTTAGTTTTTGTCAACTGCTTTGCTTTGTTGCAAGGAAAGGTTTAGTACTCAGATAAGTATTTTAGAGTTATTGATGGTATAAAAAAGCAGAAAGACAAACAAAAACAGAATAGAAGCCCCTGAAAAGACAGAAAAAGAAACAGTGTTATTCCAAGCAACAGGGAACACTGGTGTCAGAGTGTTATATTGGCGATCCACTGGCATATTCCATAAGACAGGTAAAAGGGGCTACAATCTGTATTTCACATTATCTAGTGGTTGTGATGGCGTTCAGTTGTTTCAAGTATGTCTGGCTCTTTGTGACCCCATTTGGGGTTTTCTTGGCAAAGATACTGGAGTGGTTTGCCATTTCCTTCTCCAGTATATTTTACAAATAAGGAATCTGAGGCAAACAGGGTTAAGTGACTTGCTCAAGATTATACAGATAGTAAGTGTCTGAAGCTGGATTTGAACTCAGGTCTTCCTTACTTCAGGCCTGATGCTCTATCCACTTTGCCATTTAGCTGCCCTCATACCTGGTAGAGGATATTTTATTAAACTCCCTCTTCTACCAAAATCTATTTTGTATTTCTTTATTTCAAGCACTTACTAAACCTCTACTATGTGACCAAGCATTGTATTTGGGGTCCACAACTTGGCCTTTGCCCTTGATATTTTTTCTGCAGTGTCTATGCGGTTTCTAGCCGATATGGCCAAGTAGAAGTATGGATTTCACAGAGCATAATGTTATGTTGACTTCTGTAGAAATAAATCAATTTAGTAAGGAGGAAAAAGTAATTGAGTAAAAAAAAAAATCCACTGATCATGTCAAGTGACTGAATTCTCATTCTTTGCCCCACCAAATACTAGCATTATGTAGATGTAGTCTGAGAATGTATCACTGGTGTTTTCAGTGTCTGTGAAATCTGTGACTCTAATATTTCCATTATTCTTTTTTAACAGCCTATTTCCTCTCACTGTCCTCCAAAGCTGGTTCCTCTCCTGCAAACATAAAAAGCAGAGTTTTCCTTCCGACTAATAGCCAACAGCCATGCCAGGTACTTATAAGCACCCTTCTTTCATTACCCTTTTTTCTATGTGGGTTCTTTTTGGTTGGTAAACACATTTTTATTCCCCTCCAGGTCACATTTTATCACTACTCCAGCCATGTGAAGATGAATATAAATGTTGGTCTCCAGACTATGTGTGGCAATTCTTTTCAGAACATATGGCAAAACTCAGCAAGGTCCCCAAATCGGTGGGAAAGAGATGCCGTCAAGATCAATAGCAATCAGAAGTTTCAGGTATGGATGCTTCTTGTACTCAGAGACCCGTTGGAGAGCAGATGCCTAGATAGAGATATGGATGTTATCCTAAAAGTCACAATAAGCCTAGAATAAGAATGATATAGCACTTAACAGTAGATACCCAGTATTTGTTGAATGTCTTAATGTTGAATAGTTTTGTCATTAAAATATCAATATGTATCACGTGAGTGGCTATTTTTAGTCTAAATACATATAACTCCTTAATATTTTAAGTATAAATGTTGATTATTATTATTATTTATGTATCCCCAGTGCTTATCAGAGTACTTGTCAAATAGTAAATACTGAACTCTTGCTTTTTTTTTATTCATTCATATAAAGTGATGTATGACATACTGTGTGGGACACAGATGATCTAAAGAAATATCATTGCCTTGGCACAGTTCAAAATATTATAATTTTTTTTTTTGGCTAGGCAGTGGGGTTAAGTGACTTGCTCAGGGTCACACAGCTAGTAAGTGTTATGTGTCTGAGGCCGGATTTGAACTCAGATTCTCCTGACTCCAAGGCTGGAGCTCCATCCACTGTACCACCTAGCTGCCCAAAATATTGTAATATTTAACTCTACTTGGAGTCAGGAAGGGTTGGGTTCTAAATCTGTCTTAGAGACTTAGTAGTCATGTTATTCTAGGTGGGTAATCATACTTGTTTCCATAGAAAGAACATTGATCTGGAGAAAAGACTTCAAATCTAGTTTCAACCACTTAATATGTGTGACCTTGATCAAAACTCTTAACTTTTTGTTGGTCTCAGTTTTTCCATTTTGAAAATAAGTTCATTAAACTCTGGCCTCAAATGTCTCTTCCAGCTGGCATGAATGTTTAATCTAAATCCAACAGAGGCAGGATGACCTAAGTTCTAATCCTGTCTCAGGCACACTTAATAGTGATATGAACTTAGGCAGGACATTCAACCTTTTTTAGTAACAACAACAACAACAGCTATTACCTTGGAAGATTTTTGTCAGGCTCAAATGAGAAAACCTATGTAAAGTACTTCATAAAACTTAAAGTGATATATAAATGTTAGATGCTAATATCGTTTTTTTCTTATCATCCTTATCTTTTCTCCCAAATGTCCTTTTTTGAGTTTATTCTTTGTTGTGCTTTGTGGAGAAAGATTGATATTGAGAAAGTGAGAGGAAAAAGGGTAGTTGCTGCAAATACTAATTCCGGCTGCTAAGAATTTAAGTGTAATAAATATTCCATTTATTCCATTGACTACCCCAAATAGGAAACAAGACACATTTTCAGAATCATTCTGAGAATTAAGCCAATATAGCCCATAAAAGACAAATTGATCTACCTATCACTATAAAACCCAAATATCGTGGAAACCATCATCAAGTGATTCTAACGAGAAGTTCAGGAAAAGTATTGCATATTTCAACACTTGGGGCAGTCAGGCAAAAATGTGCAGCTCAGAACAGAAGCCTATGGTACTTTACTTAGCTACCAAAGTGCTCATTCTTTAAAGCTAGTTTGTGGGCCAGCCTCGTCCAAACAGGTCTGCTGAAATTAATCATTTCTTATCATCAATGGATACTCCTCATGATTAATAACATCATCAATTAACATGTATTAAGCAACTATAAGTAGCAGAAGATGGTAAGAAGGCCCTTGGCCTGGAATTTAAAATACTCAGCTTCAAGTGCTGTTTCTCTTTCTTACTACTTGTGCGATATTGGGTAAATTAGGCACCTTAAGTCTCAGTTTCCTAATTTGTAAAATGGAGATAGTAACACCTATATCTCTTTTACCTTACATGTCATCTTGACAAAAAATGAAAGAATGTACATAAAGTATGTTTTAAACCACAAAGCATTATATAAATATCAGTTGCTATGATAATGATGATGATAATCTAGGTTTTAGGGGAGACAAAAGTATACAAGACGTGGTTCTTGCCTTCAAGGAGATTGCAGTCTACAATAGTAGGGAACTTATACTTAACCATCATTAGATTTTCTAATATATTCTTTAAATTTTTTTTAACTGGGTCTATCTTACCCAGACTAGAAGTACAGAGGTACTCATGGGTTCCATCCCACTACTGACTGGCACGGGAGCTTTACCTGCTCAGTTTTACAGCTTGGCCAGTTGGCTTTTCCTCAGGCAGTCTGGTGGCCTTCTGCTCCTCGGGGCTTAGCATATTAATGCCAGACTTAGTTCAGCTAAGTCAACTGCAGTCAACTGCATTTCAAAAGTCTCAAGCTCAAGAGACTGGTCAACCTCAGCCTTCCTAGTAGTTGGACTTATAGGCATAGGCCACCATGCTTAGTCTAATATATTCTCTTTGCTTAGTATCCCAACTTGTGATCAGATGTGATAATGCATGGGTTAGCCCTTTGTGAACTAGCAAACTGTATACTAGAGGGAACCACTGTAATCAGTAACATCTGGCACAACAAATAAGCGAGTGGGAGACCTGGAATTAACTCTCTGCTCCAGCTCCTTTATGCAGGAAGAAGAAAGGGGCTGTGAAACTTATATGAACCTAGTGATGTACAAGGCAGGATAATTATGTAGAAGTTGGGAAGTGATCTTGTCAATGTTACTCGGCCTCCCAGAATCTCAATTAGGAGACTCTTGACAAAGCCCAACCTGTACTAGAGCAAGAATATTCCCTACAATATACCTGACAAGTGGCCATCCAGTGTCTACTTGAAGTCCGTGTGTGTGTGTGTGTGTCTGTGTGTGTGTGTGTCTGTGTGTGTGTGTGTGTCTGTATGTGTGTATGAGAGAGAAAAAGAGAGAGAGAGAGGAGAGGAAGAAAGGGAGAGGGAGAGACAGGGAAAACAGATGTCGTCAGGTATTTAAAGAGCTATTAGGTAGAAGAGAGACTAAAATTTTTCTGCTTGTACTTGGAGGATAGAACTAGAAAATATGGGTAAACATTTTAGGGAGACAGATTTAAACTACACATAAAGAAGGGAGAAAATAAGGAAATAAGCATTTGTAAAGCACCTTCTAGTTGCCAGGCACTATGCTAAGCGCTTTAAAAATATTATCTCATTCAATCCTCACAACAACCTTTAAGGGTAGCTGCTATCATGATCTCCATTCTACGGTTGAGGAAACTGAGGTTGATGGAGATAAAGAGATTTGCCTAGGGTCACCCTGCTAGGAAGTGTCTGAGGACAGATTTGAACTAAGGTCTTCCTGATTCTACTCCAAGTGCACTATCCAGTGTGCCACTTATCTACCTTGATGTAAAGAAACAGTGCCTAACAGTTAGAGCTTTCCAAAAGGAAAGTGGCCTGCTTTGAAAGGTAGAAAGTTCTCTTTCACTAAAATCTTTGAGTGAAGGTTAGATGATCACTTGTCCAGGATGTTCTAGAGGAAATTATGTATTTTCATCCCAGCACTCAGCACAGACACATACATTCTTTTTCCAGCTTTTTTCTTATTCTTCAATGTACCAAAAAAATCAGGGACATGTCCCAGGAATGATGTGGACACTTACTCATTAAATCCTGGAAGTGAATGTTACATTCATCTCTCTCTCTCTCTCTCTCTCTCTCTCTCTCTTTCTGTCTCTGTCTCTGTCTCTGTCTTTGTCTCTCTCTGTCTCTCTCTCTCTGTCTCTCTCATACACACATCTACTTACACAGTTATGGTCTAACTGCAGATCTCAATCATTGGGAGTTGGGAGTAGGCTATAGACAAAACAAAAAAACCCCACCTTTTTATGTCTTCTTCTTTTTACCCTTTGGTAGCACTTCCTGCATGAAGGGTGGCTACAAAATGCAAACATAAAACAGTAATTAAGTGTACATAATTGCTAAAAATATCTCACTGGGCTGAACTCCAAAATACACCATCTCAAGTGTCAGTCCTCTGGAGTTGAGATAGCAGGGCAGTTTACTGGAGTGCTTTAAAATGTTGTGGTGGCTTTGGGAAAGCAGATGCATATATATTAATCTCTGCCTCCCTCAATATTTTATTTGCTGATGTGAAAACAGTTCTTCCACCTTCTAGGCTTTCTAAAAAGCAGGAGGGCATGTGACTCCCTGGGGACCCTTTAGCTATACAAATCTTCCAGGCTGCAGGTATGCTATCATTCTGGCCTGTTGGCTAGTAAGCAGATGTTTGTTTCCTTTGTTTAGATGGCTGGGCTGGTAACACTGGCTTGCCCAATTTAGAAGATGTTGTTCCTGAAAAGCTTTCGAGGGAGCCTGCTTGCAGAAATTCAGTGATCCAAATGTCTCCTTGTATTACCTTCTACCTCATTAATTTCCAAGACTGCAGACCCCTGAGTCCTCCTTGAGTCCTTCTCCACCTGGACTTCTGATGTTTTCAGCCCTTTAGTTTTTAGAAATCTTCAAAAGAGAGGTTTCTGTTCCACCTCAGGCTCTGGATTATCACAGACATTTGGAAAAAAAATCTGCCAGCCCTTTTTCTTTCCATGTCCCTTCCTCTCTACAGTATCATATGAAATGTGTTGAAAATTCATTTTATTCAGTGCTTGCTACGTGCCAAGCACCACAAATACACATAGAAGAGGGATACAGCCACTGTTCTCAAGGGGCTCACACTATAACTGGGGGAAAGAATACATAAAAGAGGGCTCAGTTCATGGAAAAGAGCACATGATACTTAAGATAAAAGGAAAATAGTAGGGCAGATGGCAAGGACTTTGGGAAGCAATGGAAAGGCGGATGGGCATCCAGTACCTAGTGGGAACTGGGCAAATGGGGCAACAGGGTTGTGACTGGGGAAGGTAATGGTCTGTGGCCCTCTGACATCTCGTCTGGTGGTTCTGGTTTGGTTTTTGAGATACCCTTTGGCAAACTGAAGTAGGGAAGTGGAAGGTCCTTTGCTTTCCCTTTAGGGTGTCCAGGGATGGTGCTGGTCAATAGTCAAATAATGGCAAGAATGTGCCAAACTGGGACCACAACTTAAAGAGTCCTTTTCTCCCTTTTTAAAATCAATTAAGCATTTATTAAAAGTGCCTACTATATGCCAAGCAAAGTA